TGTTTTACTTTTTGGGTGTAATTACTTTATTATCTGGTAATTTATTTCCTTAAACACTCATTTTCTTATTTATCTCTTTCAGTTCACAACTTTGACAATATTGCAGTATCTATCTCTAAATATAAATGCTATGCTAAAAGCTACTAAACTAGGGAAAATAAGAAATGAACTAAACAGAAACAAAATCCCAAGGGTAATTATCTATTAACACAGCATCAAGCTTCACCAAAAGATCTGTGGTGTTCTATTAAATGTAAAAGTTTAGAAAAACAAAATCAAACAAAGAAAAAGAGAGAGAGAGAGAAAGAAAGAAAGAAAGAGAGGAAGGGAGAGACAGAGAGAAAATGAGATATGTAAAAGCAACAGAAAGCAGTAGAGTATGATAGTTTAAAAGTGGCAAATGGCTAAAAAGTGGCTGATACTTTTGAGGCCATGCCTCAGACTGGTGAGTGGGAGTCATTGGTTTATTTTAACAAATTTTAAAAAATTTACTGGAGGCAGCAGTGACTCTCGTGCCTCGCTACCCCTCAGCAGACAGAGTGGCACCACTTTCAGGACCCTTTTCTATCACTGAGTAGTTGCAGAGACAGAATAATCTCCCAGCAGGAACCCTAATTATTCCTCCCCACCAGGGCTCAGGTGGAGTTACCTCCAGTCCTACAGAAGGCAGAGTACATAGGTGTGCTAACAAAGGAAAGAGACCAAAAATCAAACTGCCACCCCCCAGGCCAGAATGTGCCCTGAGGGATGACAAGAAAAGCACAACAAAGGTGATGAGGGGGCTGGCTATTACATGGTCCTGGAAATAAAATGGTAAAGAAAAACATGAGAAAGTGTTCCATCTTGGTAGTGGGCAATCAGATAAACCCTTCATTTTTTAAGCATACTCATGCCACAGTTCTCATACTGCAGTCCTTGAGTCAGGGACTACCTACCAGTTAATTTCCTTACAGGGGAGTTTTCCCACCGTGCCAAGAATCTACACAGTCTGTATTAGTGCTGCCCCAATGCTGATCACGAGGAGGAGGTTGCTGATCACAATTGACATACAGGGGCAAGTGTTATTTCACTGCTCTCATGGAACTGTTGCTCTGAAGAGAATATACTGTCATAATCTAGTCCTGACATCCAGGAAAATCCCTAAAATGATGCCCTGGGATTAGCCAGTGCAATGTCAGAGAAAGCTGTGATGAGAAGGTAAAATTCAAAATTAAAATTAAGGTATAAATAGTCCCTTCAATATATAGGGCCAAACTACAGCACTCTAACTGGCATGTTCTGCTAACATCCTCTACCTTCCTCATGGACAACACGGAGCCACCTTCAGAACAAGGTATGGCTCAGTTTCAGTAGGATTTTCTGGAGTCCTAAGGAAATACCAGCACAGGAGCTCAGCAGCAGCACCAATTTCAAAGTCTGTGTGTAGACAGAGTCATTTTTAAGTATCATGATTACACTAATTAGGTTCTGCTTAGGTTTTAATTTGCATTTTAAGGATTTGATTACCCACCAGTAAAAAAAGAGACTGATTCTCTCATGTATTTTATGACAGTTTGTGACACAATCTGCACTCTTGTGTTTACAAATAAATAAAAATAACATATGTAAATTAAATTATGTTTCATTCTGTACCATTGCTATCAACAGCAGGTAACTAACAATGCTGATTTATATTACTAATAATAACATTCTTATAATAACATTCTTACAAAATTTATTTCATAAATCCCTGCTGTACCATTTCAAACTCTAACTGTGAACAAGAGACATAATCCATTTTTAATTGCGATTCAATTACCCCTTTTTTTCATTAAATTAAGTTTAAGCTGCAAGAATATGACTACTGTGCATTCAAACAGGGATACCTAGAATTAAAAAAAAAAAAAAACACGTCCCCCAGGAGTTTCTGAATAACAGGGGGGTTTGCCCATAGGCTTTTTGTATCATAATATGTTGCCATGTATATAATTCTATTAAAATTAATATATAATAGTATTTGTCCTATAAATTAGATAATATAAATTAAAACATTGTTAGACTAGTATGTAAATTTGCCTTTTGTCTACTCACTCTGTTTTTGGAACTTCTTTTCTAAGCCAGTAGAAATCAGATTGGGCTACGTATTTGCGGGTTTGCAATACATTGCCAAAATAGTCACTTTCTGTAAACTTCAGCTGTATGGATAAAGCACAGACATTTTAAAAGCATATCCAAAGAAACAAAAGCTGTCATAAAAAGCATAACTTCTATTTTTTACAAGATAATCACCTAATTTTTCAGCAATTATGGAAGCAATTAGAATTCTCACATTTTGGTAGGAAGAATAGATATTTTATGATCTTAGTTAAAACACAGAAGTGGAACAGATGTACACAAGGGTCTGGAACGCTGGAAAGGCTCTTTCCTGTCCAGAGAGGTGTTGAAGAAATCATAAGCACCCAACAATGGATTGCAGATGGAACTTCTCTTTTCCAGGAGGAAGTAGGCTTACTTTTATTTTTAAAAGTGCATTTTAAAACCACTTCTAACAATGTCACAAAGTCCCCTTTCTCAGTTTGCTTTACATTTTATAACAAATACTTCATACTCTGTGCCCTCTGAGGGTTCTGCCACTGCTTTCTTCCTGTTTCTCACATTAAATATATACAGCCATAGGGCTCTGTGCTTCCATAAATTTCCAAATCCAATAGCAATTACACATACACATACAAATAACCATGCAGGCAAAAGGGATGTTAATAGTTCATAAATCCAGATGATATCCCTTTCACCAGCTTAAAGCAATCCTAGGATTTGAGAGGAAGTTGCATTTCAGATGTAAACTATGGTTTTGCAACCACGATTAATAAGTATTTTTCACCAGACATTGCCACTTATCTGGGCGAATGCTTTGTCTCATTACACTGTCTTCACAGCACCATCTCACCCTGTACTTCCCACAAAAAAGGACTAGGCTGGTAGAGTTGGTTCTTCAAAGTTTTCTCAATAAATTAGGTCTCTGTTTAGTGTTTGTTCATGTGTTCTGGCAAAGATGACCACGTCTCTTTGTTTTACTGGCTCAGGATTGAATTTAGGGTTCTACTTTGCCTGTGACTTTCAGTAATACAATTCATCACATGCGTGCCACAGTCGGAAAATGGTAACATATATTGTTATTGTTGTCACTGATGATGATGATGATAATAATAATAACAATAATTTGCCTTCCTGCCTTACTTAGGCTGAACAGGTCAGGAAGGAGTCCCCACATAGTATCTTTGCCCAGCAGCCAGCACAATAGGCCCATACATTGACTAGGACATCTCGACAAAATTATAAGGAACAATCATAAATAAAATTCATAGCCTGGAGAGCCTATATAGGGCATCATAAAGTGTGATATTCTGAGGTAAAATGCTTGTTGTGTTTTTGAAGACCATTATTTTGAGAAGAAATGCTTTTGGTTTGTTTCATTTTTATAACTAAATACCAATTACAGTGTATGTTTAACCTTTAAAATGCTTTTTATCAGGAAGGTTCTTTGCACCCAGGTGCATTTTACTCCCCACAAGCCTCATGATCTCATTTAGGCATGCCAGCATTGACAATTTAGACATGAGAGCTAGCACACTTAATTAAAAAATAACATAAAAATAACCAGGCAAGCAAAACTCCAGGTGCATGCCAAACAAAAGACAAGCTTTGATTTTAGACAGCAGTGAAACAGAGCAAAGAATAGCTGCAATATGTAAATGAAGAAAGCTGCAAGTCTGACACTTACTGTTTTGATGTCTTCATTAATATATGTGTCATTCATTATAAACTCAGGGTAACCAACTTTCGCCATAACTGCTTTTGCCTTTGAAAAAGAAAATGAGAAAAAAAGTGTTGACAGATAAACCCACTTATCAACATACAGCTTTTTTTTCCCCTGCTCTCTTTCCATTTTGCATTATTATACTTCCCTAGAGGCATCTTAATTTAACTTCAAATCAACTTGCCTACAAGGTAAAATTGGTGCCACAAATGAGCTCAGCATCACAAGGCAGAGGGTCCAGATTCTGTTGTTAGATTATCACAGTGGGTCTGTTGTTGCCTGCAGAGCTTTTGCGTAGTTACAGCTATGTGTTTGAGTGCAAAATCTCAACAGCTGACTTTCCCTACCAGTTTTTGTGTTAATCAGATGGTCAAACTTCTGTTTTTACAATGTTTTCCAAAGGACAACAGAAAACGGTCCGTTTTGCTATGGCACAGTAGCTGGTATGCATTCAACGCTTAAAACAGATTTGATACACAGATGTGAATGAACCTTGGTCCCAGCAAATGCAGACTGGTGTATTTCTACTGAGGGCCACTTCTATTTGCATCTGAAGATGGGCACACACTCTTCTGAAGGACATTGTGCTTTCCTAAAACTACAGGACTAATTTTTGTTTCGTTCTCCAGTTTTTGCCCTTTCCCTAATGTTAGTAAGGGTGTTAAAATAAGACACTTCACTTTTCATTAACTTTGCTTTTTTTAACTCTTTTAATCATGACTTGGTCCCAGTATTTATGCACAGCCTGTGTAAACACTCCAGTGTGAAGTGATAGTAGCTGTAGATGAGTATTACCACTTTGTAAATCATGGTGTGAATGTATAAACAGCCTGAGCATTCTTCTCACAAAAACACCAGCAGGCTACCCTTACACCCAGAATCTCTGTGGAAACAGAATTTTCCAGAAGAAAAGCAAAAGGATACAAAAAGATAAGACTACATACCAAGATGTGAAATGTGACAATCTGTAAAATAAATTAAAGCTATGATGGACTAGGGTAGCACTAAGCTTTCATTTTGTATGTTTTCAGGATGCTGAGTGTATTTTCCCCATAAGTCTTTGGAATTTCCTCCACCCCTCAAAAAGCACTCTTCTGGACATTTGTTCTTCAAACTCAGATGTCAAAACTCAAATGAATATTGCAAGATATGAAATGCAATAAATTAATTGGCCTCTAAACCAACTGCAGACGTATCAACCCTGCATTCTGTTCTCCTGAGCAGAGCCTGGACCCCTCTGGGGTCCACCAACTTCCATTTCCCTCTTCAGAGGGTGACTACTCAAAGGAAGATTCCCCTTCCTGCACTTATATCCTTTCTCCCTTCTGCCCCTCCATAGTATCTCAATACAACAGGGCCTCCTATGACAGCCAGAATTAGAAATGGCTGTTCCACTACTGTAAGAAGGAACCTGATAGAGGACTCCCCCCATTTAACCAAAATAATTCTGTCTCCTCTTTTATTTTTCAAGAAGAAAGGCCTCTTTGCTTCAAACTCCTTCAATTTCTCAATCTCATTTCCAATCCGAAGTCATAAACCTCCATTTGTGACATAACAATTAATTGTGGTTGAGATAATTAAGATGTCACAAACAGACGACAACAACTTCAGGTAGGAAATTAGTAGCAGGAGCAGATGATCTCTTAAGCAAGAAAGATCCCACTGTCATGCAAATTGCTCTAGTGATAAAGAAAGCAATGGAAGAAAAATGCTGAATGGGAAATATGAAATGAGCCAAATAACCTCTCAACAGAATGTTTTCTCAGTTTTCCAGAAGGTTTATCAGTCTTTCAAGATATTTTAAATGCTGTGGGGAGGAGGGAGAATAAAAAGCTGGGGAGGGAGCACTATTCATCTGCAAGTTTGTAGGTAATCAGGAGTGTCTAATTTTTTTCCTAGTGGTGGTGTCGGGTCCAACTGACTGAACTTTGCAAGGAACCGCAAAATTTTCTTTACCATTTCCCATGTTTAAATTCCAGTTAAAACTATCCTTGAAAAAGGAAAGAGCAAAACTCATAAATTTTAATTTCTGCTAAGTCAGCTGCTTAAATGAGTTTGGTGAATCTCATGTTCTGCATGAGTTCCAGAGTACCTGTCTGAATCACAGTAACCTTTGTGTTGAATCTACTTAATTGAACACCTTAAGATTTGAATTAAACAGATTTAATTTAAAAATTGACTTATATGATGAAGAATAAACCCTTTAAAAACAATTTATAGTGCAACATTTAAAAAATCAACAGTGGTTTTAAATCAAATGTAAAGATTAACTGTGTCAGCATTTTACTAATGATTTAGTCAGTACAATGTCGATCAAAAATTTTTGATCCTGTTTTGGCATATAAAAGAACATTTTTTGTTTAGAGCTAGATTACATCCTTTAAAAGTGCTCTTAATTTGTATACTGTCTTCCAAATAGAAGCAAATAAATTCATACCTCACGGCTGTAAATGCAAAGGAGTATAAAGCCAGCCTAGATCTGGCAGTGCTTCTTTGCTGAGAGATGAGCTCTGCCCTTAAACACATGGTGCTAATTGTCTGGTTGTTACCAAAGTAATGTCCATCTCCACCACATGGACATTTTGGGATCTTTGTGGAATATCTGCCGCATCCCTCTCACTCTCTTCTTCCACAGCAGCCCCCTGAGGGCAGCAGCTTGGGACTGCCAAGTTTTGGCCCTTTTAGACCTCACTCTTTAACCAAGCATCTCTAAGGGTGAAGATGATGCCTCCAGGCTCCTTAATAGCTGGTCTGACATAGGTTGAACTAAAGATCAAATATAATCACATAATCTCACAAGTAACCATATAATTAACTTTTTTAAAATTTTATTTTATTGACACTTAAACCCTTCACTCTTTTCATGGCCCTGCTGCATTAGGAAAGGAAGATGGGAAGAGTTCTTCAGCCAGACTGCCTCAGGAGAGCTGGGCACACTTGTCAGGTGACACATACTTTTGCTTTGTGACATGAAATTGAGATTTCTAAACAAGAGAATAAAATAGTTGGGCACTACTATACTATGAGGTATTTTTTTATAAAGGCTATATAAAACCCTAGTAAATAACAGAGTTTGTCTTGGAGAGACTTTTGAAAGTAAACTCAAAAGGTAATGCTGCTTCCAGCACTTTGATGCTTTATCAATGTCTAAAGCTGCCTGTATTTTGTAGTATAGATAGATAGATAGATAAGGGGGAAATGTTATTTTATTGCATTTGTTACTTAAAAGTTCTTATCACAATATGTGTAGTTTAGAGATCTGAGCAGATAAGACAAAGCTGATGCTGACAGTGAAGGATGTGTGGCTCTTGGTTGGGGAAAATGTTTCCTATGGCCAAAGCAAAACCTATGAGAGGACACAGGAAGCCCTCTGAAGTCCTCGATAATCCCTCCAATTGGGATTTCTCCTAGGAGCTTTGCATCAGGTGCAAACCTGCTCAGCTGAGCCCCGCACACAGCCCAATTTATTTACATAACTGACAAGGTAGAAAGTATCATACTGGGAGCAGGTTTCTGAATTTGCATGTTGGAAGTCTTGTTTCTGTGCCTATCTTCTCTGTTCACTTGTGTAATATTTAACAGCAGTTTGAAGACTCCTTATTTATACAGCACAAGGAAGTGGAAATCTCTTCTACAATTGGCTTGCTCTTTGATAATGATGTCAGTATTTTCCCCTTGATAAGATTAAAAGTATGTTTAAGGGACCAGCATTCCCAGAGGCATCCATATGCATACAGGGAACTCAAATGAAACGTGACAAATGTACAGGAACCAGCCATGTGGCAATTGCACATGAATCCACCATAAACACACCATGCACAGTTTTATGGTTTAAAGGCTCATTTAATTCCTTTTTCTAATTTGCATATTAAATAGCCACGTGTACAGGAAGAAAAAGAGTGATGGGGTACTTCCCCCAGCTATTGTTAAGCGCTCAGCCTATGTTGGGGTGTTGAGTAAATTAAGAAAACTCATCACTGCAGTACTCTTCTGTCACTGACAGCAAGAGGCTCTCACAGGGGGTGACACAGAGAAGCAGCTCACTTTAGAGTAAGTCATGATAACTGTTTTCCAGCCCAGCAGCCAGAGAGAGCAGGCTCTGAGGCAGAGGACCCAGAATGAGATTACTCCCTCCACCTCTCATTATGCATGGAAGTTTCCCCACTGACTTCAACAGAGCTGAGATTTTATCATCAATGTGTCTTTCTGTCACAATGGGGGCACTGCTATTCAGTTTACTACTGAGACAATATAATAAAAGACCTTTCACTCTTGACTTAACAACTTGCCAATGTGGGAATGCACAGGTATTTCAATGCTCCAAAGCATCCTAGTTTCCATTCTATTCAAATTCTCACTTGACAACCAAGTGTGTGAGCCATCTGAGAGCCTTTTTTGCCACTCAGAGTGTGATCTGGATATTTTATATGCTAGCAACACTAAGTACTGACATATTGCACTTACTGTAAAGAAAAAAAAAACGCAACACATATCTCACCCCTGACAAAGTTTTATGAGTCTGACACAGATCTTCTGTATATCAACTTGACTCAAAATAACTTTGTGAAGATCATTTTCAAGCTTCTAAATATATAAAAAATTAATACAATTACAGTTCACTGAAAAATTAGCATGAAATACATTCTGAAAGCTAAAATCATTCACGGCAAAGTAATGTTCCATTTAATTACAAAGATTAATTCAGCCTTTATGTACGTGTCTGGTCATTTCATTTTTCATTGAAAACAGATAATTCAAGAGCCATCTGGTAAAACTGCTGCATAAATATCACTGCATCTAACTAGGTCTTACGTATAGAAAAACTAGGAAAATGGAGTTATGGATCTTGGCAAAACACAGAAAAGTTCCAACACAGGGCTAAAGCCCAGTCCTACAGATGTCAGTAAGAAGTGACCCACTGATTTGAGTGAGAGATAGACTGGGCTCACCTTAATGATGCATAGTATTTCCTTTGTGGAGCCACATGAAATCTCAGGGATTTGCACATTGTCAAATACAATCAAAAGTGAAGTGTCAATTCAAACATGAACACTTGGCCTGAAATGGCAATTTTTAACAGTACTTGATCTACAGTGAACTGTCTGTAATCCATACTCCAGAATATAGATAATCATTAAACTATTTATTTTTAAACCTTGGCTTTAACTGTCCTCTTTTATTTGTATGTCACAATAATAAAATAATAGAAACTGAGTAGACTTTTCAGGAGCTAGTGTTTCATTTAATAATAATTCACATACCACCACCTCACACTGCACCATAACCATCCCCTATGTATTACAATAATTGTTTTGAATGCTCTAAAATAATTGATTATGAAGACAGAAAATACAGTTCTCACTCCATTCTTGTAATAGCTTGAGGCCAGGGGAAAAAAAATAAATCTAGTGACTTAAGTGAGTAATGACACCCATCACATACACATAAAATTGCTTTCAGTTAAATACACATTGTAGTTTCAAAACCAGATGAGTCTATTTAACAGCTTTGTGCTGCCAAATGAAAAAATGCGCTAGTCCTCACTCTTCTTCCCTGTTCCTCTCATCTCTGTCCATACTTCTGCTCATGCTGCTTGCACCCCCAGCCTCCAAAGGCTGCCTCAGCTCCTTGCCACATCTTTCTGTGAGACTGCTTTCTGTGAAATTCACTGTCACAGCAGGAATCTAACCAAATATTTCCCCAGCCAATTTTCCACCAGATCAGTGAGCTGAATTACTCACTACTGCATGGAAAGACCCAGCAAGTGCTGGAATTGCACAAGAAAATTTCTGGGGACACATGATGTGGGAAAGGGGAGAAGACTTATGTGATACGCTAGTTACCTCCTCCTCTGAATCACGTTTTGAAACCAAAGCCTCACTCAGAGAAAACTTATTGACAAGAAAATACTATCTAATACACTTAAAATACCATACAATACATTATAATCCTAGGAAACAGAGAGGAAAAGGGACACAGCAATTCCTAAACAAACTGTTCACTGGGATTATATGTTCAGTCATAATAGCTACTATCTAGCAAGACAATATTACTATTACTAAGCATAAAGATACAAGCACTTAAAAGTTTAGTAGGACTACCATGGACAGAAGAGCCAGAAAAAGCAACAATGTACCTCAGTGACACTCTTTCCTGTCCTAAATCCCTTTCGCTTCTGGCTCTCTGGAATACAAAGACTCAGTCACTGGTTCAAGCACTGTGATGATAGTTTCACTGGAATTAACTTTTCAGTTTAAACTAATCCCACATTAGATTATCTTTTCTTTTTTTTTAGCAATAGAACTGGACCAAGTCACAGAAAGTGGGAAATTAGTATATTTATTTTGGTTTTACTGATATAAATATACTAATTGACTGTGATATTTTCACAAGCGTTAACTCCTCAGTTCAATGCAGCAGTACAATTAATAGACCCACTCCTATTTTCTCCTACCATCTTGGTTCCAAACCCATTCTGCTGCCAGCTTTGCTTTAATTTTGCTAGGAAAAAGAAGTCCTTTGCCCATTATATTTGAATGCCATTTTCCATTTGTAACCTCTGTATGACAATTATGATGATTCTATTATTTTGTACAGAATATTATATATAACAGACATGAATTCTGTCTTTCATTAGCAGAATCATAAGTCTGTAAATTAAATACCTTTCTTTGTGGCATAAAAGAAACACATAAAATATCTTCATCTTTGATTATACAATACATAAGAGCACTTATACTGCAGACCACGACAACCAAATTCCTGGCAAAGGATGTGTTTAACACCTTTTAACACCCTTCCTGTCCAAAGCACCTTGGTCAGTTTTAAGGGTCTTTGGATTCTCAGTGGAGCTGAAATGATGCTCATGGTCCAGAAAAAAAAGGATGATGTCCAGATATGCAAACGACTCAGCTATGGCATCATGGCACCACACCAGCAGTGACAAGTCTGCTCCAGCATGGGGATTTCTGCACTGGATTCCCCTCTGCACACCTGTGGATCACTTAGGGCACGCCTATGTGTGGACAGCTAGGAGCTCCTCCAGCTGCATGTCAAACAAGCCAGAAGCAAGTGTTGTGGTCTGAAGGCACAGACTACCATTAGCATCCTGCTGGTATATGTATGTCTCATGGTATATGCTGCTAAACTGCCTTTGACAGGGCTCTAACACCTTGTGCACCAGAGCTAAGCTTGGACACACACTTGGCACTTTAAAAAGCCGTACCTTGTCATGTCTTTATTTTCAGGAAATACTCTATATTTTTTAATACAACTGTGTCTTAAAACAAAAAAGCATTAGCCAAATATTCCTCCAACTGAAAATTCTCTTTGTGTTTTGAAATTACCTGAAATATTCTTACTGAATAAATTTTGCAACAGAATTCTAAGGATTTGCAATGGCACAAAAAAAAAGACACCTTTGGCTGGACTTTATTATGTTGGTGAGCAGCAGAAATTATTATGTTGCATTTTTAATAGAAACTCCTTCCTGGATTTGTTTCACTGCTCACCCCCAAAGCACCTCATGAGTTGACCCATACTCCCACTTTCATGCCACCTCTTGCTAGAAAAACATCCACCTTGCTGCAAAAATCTTTTCTGCTGTTTTTGTATTAGCTCTGGGCAAGCAGCAAGCTTAACAAAACCCACAGCATTGGCAAAATGAAAGTCCCCAGGGACCCAAAACCCCCAGTGTGCTGAAGAGTGCACCAAACACTGAGAGAGGGGCAGCCCCAGGCATCAGGAAAGGGCAAGGAAGCTCTCTCCCCATCACAACTGTATGGGATGTGATTTACCACAGTGTTTCTTGTTCAGTTCTACACAAAACTTTGAATAACCTGTTCCAGAAAGTGACAACTTCTGACCTTAGCCTCTGCTTGCATCAGTTCATATTCATTTAATATTTTCAAGGTTAAGCAAAGGTTGCAGGGCAATTATTTTTTTTTTAATAATGAAAAGCACATGAAAAATTCCCTTTTCATTTCTCATTTCACAAGAGAGCTTCAGCTTCAGTCTAGATACAGCTGGGACCAGACAAGGCAGAGACTCCTTTTAACACTACTCAAAGTGGCTCAGGTAGCAATATACAGGACATGGAGATCACCACAGCCAGGAAATGCACGTTTATCGGAAATCGACAGAGAATGCTAATTAAAAACCTGAACGTGCCCTTGTAGACTTCTCCATACAGAGAACGGGTCTCCCATATCTCAATATCTGTTACTGCTGAGCTGGGGAACTACACTGTCTTTGTAATTGTACCTCTACAGGAGACAGGTTTACTTATCAAAACAAAAGAAGATAATGAAAGTTAAAGCTGAAACTGTCCGAGACTTCTAGGGGTGGTGGAGGATCTCGCGCCCTCTGGAAGAATGAATCTGTCTTTCAGCATACCAATGCTTTCATGTTGTATTTCTGCCACAAAAGCTTCAGATTCACTCTAGTCCCTGAGCATCTGCAGGTGTGTCTGTCCATCTGTCTCCCTTCTTCTATTTCAAACATGAGATTTGTCACAAGTGTCTTGATGTCACACACCCATTCTGGCCCTATGGAGTCGTGGCAGAGTCTGAAAAATGACAGCTGTGAGATCAGGGTTAAATACAATTTCCTCTCCCTTCACCTGTTTTCCACTATCTGTTTGCACGGTGCTCAGGTTATTAATGGAACTGACATCCCTGCACAACTGAGTGAGCAGTAGCAGCAGCCAGATAACAAGGGAGAAGCTGACAGCAGCAATCTAACCCCAGAGATAAGAGATAAGCAAACATGCCATGGCTATTAGTTTCAACTCTGGCCAATGGAGTAGAACATCTCCTGTTGTTACTGAACAGGAAAGCCCAGTCCTCCTGAGAAGGTTAAATTAAATTCAGAATATGAGAGATTATTCTTCAAAAATTAAAGTTTGTGGTGAGAAATAAATATTTGACTTAAAAAAAAAAGGCAATGTTAATCTGATGGAAAGCGAAGACCTATATTTATTCAGAGAAAAATACTGAACACTTCTACTCTAGAAGGAAAGTACCCTACCTTCTCGGTATCTTTCAGGTGAAAAAATATCACTCTAAAAATTGGCATTTTCCAAACAGCTATCTCAGTGATGGTACAGGAGTAGTAGCCTAAAAATCCTGATCAAATTCCAAACTAGGTAAGTAGTGACTCTGACTTTTCTGAACTCCGATATATTTCAACCTTATGAGGAGACTTGCTCATTGCTCCTTGCAATGCAACTACAAGCAGAACCTTAAATTTTTGAATACAGACAGAGATTACCTCAGAGGTCTTTTCTAACCTAGTTGATTCTGTGATTCTGTAATTTCAGAACGCTCGCTTCCACAAAGGAAAAGTGTGGCCAAGATTCCATTGGCACTCAACTAAAGTACACTTTCCAGTTTAGAAATGACAAGGTTGTTTCAAGAATATGTGAATCAAACTTTCTAGTAAAACCAGTAAATTTGGAAGACAGCAGTCAGCCCTATTGGCTTTTGAACAGGAATGAAGTGTCTAAATGCAGTTAGAGCCTTTGGAAATTTCTCCCTCTTTTCTTAGTTCTTCTGAAGTGTGTCTGGCAGCTTCTGTAAGTGCTCTGAAGCAGTCTTACACTTTGTGAAGTTCTCTAAGAAGTGCTGGCCTTCATTCCTGAAAAAGCCTACTTGAAATAAGGGAGGTACTGAGTCTCAGGGCTGGTCCTCTGTCATATTTTCACATTATTTTTCATAGGATGAGTCCACAAACCCCACAAGAAACAAAAGGTATTTTTAATTTTTGCAGAGCACCCAGTGACCACTCTCAAGATTGGATGATTTGTCATCTTTTTGAAAAATTAGCATGGCATTGAGCAAGATTAATTTCAGCTCCTGAAGCTGTGGTGCCTGGCCTTTTTGTCTGGGCATGCCTCAGGTCTTAATGAAATGTTATTTTTCAGAACTGTATCTAGTGCATGCCCTGGACAGGCTTTGTGAAGAAAAGCAGGAGGCTCCATTCTCCCAGCATGTATTTCTTGTGCCAAGGTTATACAGGAGCAAAAGTGAGAACAAGCATAGAACAGTCAATGAAGATTCTCTGGTTTCCCCACTACAAGAACACGGGGGGAAAAGGTGACATTTTCCAGACCAGCAAAAGAGATGTTTTCTCACACAGAGAACAGTGAGGCAGTGGAACTCATTGCCTTGGGAAGTTGCAGATGATAAAAATTGTTGTGGGTTCAAAAAGTCATT